CTCACCCCAACAAGGCTAGCATTAATCCAAAAAACACAAAATAATAAATGCTGGAGAGGTTGTGGAGAGACTGGAACACTTATGCACTGTTGGTGGGGATGTAAAATGGTACAACCATATGGCACTTCCTTAAAAAGTGAGAAATAGAAGTACCATATGATCCAGCAATCCCTCTCCTTGTAATATATCCTAGAGAAATGAGAGCCGTCACACGAATAGATATATGCACACCCATGTTCATTGCAGCACTGTTCACAATAGGAAAAAGATGGAAACAACCTAGGTGCCCATCAACAGACGAATGGATAAACAAATTATGGTTTATCCACACAGTGGAATACTACGCAATAATAAAGAACAACGATGAAGCCATGAAACATCTCACAACATGGATGAATCTGAAAGGCATTTGCTGAGTGAAATTAGTCAGTTGCAAAAGGACAGGACCACTATTATAAGAACTCAAGACTAGGTTTAAACACAGAAGAAAACATTGTTTGATGGTTACAAGCGTTGGGAAGGAGGGAAAGGGGTATTCACTAACTAGATAGTAGACAAGAATTATCTTAGGTGAAGGGAAGGACAACACACACCACAGGGGAAGTCAGCACAACAGGACTAAACCAAAGCTAAGAAGTTTCCTGTATACAACCAAACACTTCAAGGGACAGAGTAGCAGGGGTGGGGGTCTGGGGACCATGCTTTCAGGGGACATCTAGGTCAGCGGGCATAAGAAAGCTTACTAAGAAAACGTTCTGCATCCCACTTTGGTGAGTAGCATCTGGGGTCTTAAAAGCTAGCGAGCAGCCATCTAAGATGCATCAATGGGTCCCAACCCACCTGGAGAAAAGGAGAATGAAAAACACCAAAACCAGAAAGAAAGTATTAGCTTGAGGCAACAGGGCCACATAAACCAGAGACTCCATCAGCCTGAGACCAGAGGAACTAGGTGGTGCCTGGCTACCACCAATGACTACCCTGACAGGGAACACAACAGAGATTCCTTGATGGAGCAGGAGACAAGTGTGGTGCAGAACTCAAATTCATGGAAAAAGACCAGACTTAATGGTCTGACTGAGACTAGAGGAACCCCAGAAGACATGGCCCCCGGACTCTCTATTAACCCAGAACTAAAACTATTCCCGAAGCCAACTCTTCAGACAAAGATTAGACTGGAGTATAAATCATAAAATAATACTCTTGAAGAGTGTGCTTCTTAGTTCCATTAGCTACATGAGACTAAATGGGCAGCTCCTTTCTGGCAGCGGGATGAGAAGGCAGAAAGAAATAGGAGCTGGGTGAAGGGATAAGGGAAACCCGGGGTGGAAAGGGGGAGTGTGCTGTCACATTATAGGGATTACAACTAGGGTCACATAACAGTATGTGTACAAATTTTTGTATGAGAAATTAATTTGAGCTGTAAACTTTCACCTAAAGCACAATAAAAATAAAAAAATAAATAAAGCTGAGGAGACTGAAATTTGGAGAGGACTGCCCACAGTTGGGCAGCCAGAGAGAGGAGAGACTAGGAATCCAGCCAAGGGGTCTTGGGCCCCCAGCCAGAACAATGTGGGCACCCAGGCCCTTGGGGGAACAATGGGCATGTTAAGGGCAAAGAGGTGATTTGCTAACTGTCCACTGAGGGTCTTCTCCTGACTCAACAGAAATCCAAATCAGACTTCCTGACCTGGAGTCCAATATTCCGTCTTGGACCATACCCTGTCCTGGGACACAGGACTTTGTTAGGAGTGTCAGAAAGCACTGAGTCATTGTCATCCTCACCGATTAAGTGACCTAGTGTCCAGGGTGGGCCTTGTTTATGGAGATGGAAAAAGCTGGGATTAGGAGAGTTCTAGGCAAGGAAACTGCTCCTGGGGAAAGCGGTTAGAGGTACCTTTTGTAAAGGACTAAACTATTGATCCTTTATCAGAATATGTTCAGTCTTGGGGCTAAAGATCATCCTCTGAGAGTCAAAATGCAAAATCAACTGTGATATGCAAATCAAGCCACCTGAACTAATGAAAAAAGGACACAGAAGGAAAGTTGTTTAGTTATGATTCATATGCACCTGGGCTTGAGGGAGAGAATGCACAGGCATACTGGTGGGGGATTTTCAATCCACATGATGGTTACTGTGAATTAGTTTATAATCAGAAACAACGCCATTTCTCTCAGGTGTGGTGGCACTGAGGCAATCCCACTGATCCCAGATGACCAGGAAACTCACATTGCATCACCCAGACACTTGTTGGCTAAAGGTTAGAAAGGGGAACTTTTAATCACAGTCCACAATTTCCGATCAGTTCTCTCACTCGATCCTCCTAGCCACCCTCTGAGGTGGGCAGCATGGGGGTTGCTGCTCCTATTTAGAGAGAGACGAGGTGCTCTGGGCCTGACTCTCCTAGGGTGTTGTTGGATATGTTGGATGATGAGTTAGTAATCCCTGCCTGGCACATAGTAGGGCTCGGAGCTATTTGCTATTCTTTTCCCCTTGGACACTCTCCCAGGGACTGCAGGAGGGCATGGCGAGGGAGTGGGGGGCAAACGAGCAGCAGGAAGCCCTTCATCTATCCAGGGTATGACTTCTCTCCCCTTCCTCAGATGGGGTCAGTCAGGGGCTTGTCCTACATCTGGCAGTGTCCCCTCCTTCCAGCTGTTCCATGGCATTCCCACGGACTCCCAAGATCCAGGAATCCAGCTCAGTTGCCCTGAGCCATTAAGCTAAAGGCTAAAAGGGGCTTCCTGTTGCAGGTTCAAGTATTTTAGTGTTCCTTCAAAAAACAGGATAGAGATGCTTTGGTCTCTGTTTCTAGAAGGAAGAATGCAAAATCCATTAATACATCACTTCACATTGTCGTTTGATGATGCTATTTCTGGAAATCCTAGCAGTTCAATGTCTTGCCCAAAGCAGATCCTTACATAATTGCAGCCCTGACTTCGCTCTTACTGTGGCAATCCTTGCTGGGGGGAGGGTGGACAGGATAATGAATGGTCCCTTGTACCCCAGCCATTTCCCCTGAATTGCCCCCCACCCCCACCCCCATTCATAGATCAGTAGCCCCTTAGGGCCATGTGGGATTCCACCTGTGAAATTGTTGGAGATCCTGCAGTCACCACTGTCACAGCAGTCCTGAAAGCTGCAGTACCACACGGTCAGGATATCCAGGTACTGCTGGCCCAACAGGGGAAGGTTCCAGCCTGGAAAAGGAGGAGCTGTGAGACAGGCACAGGGCCTCGACCAGGGGAAGCCAGCACCCCCTCCCCGCGGAACGTGTGTTGCTCATGCAACTTGACGTAGTAGAGATGTTCTTCTTCCTGAGGAAGTCAGTGGCCTTGATACGATCCACCTCCAGCAAAGGTTCAATTTATTCAACCAGTATGCCTTATGTCCTATGTGCCGGAAGTGTAAGAAACCCAGACCCTGCCTACAAGGAGTTTGCAGTCTAGTAGGGAGACAAACAGTAGCTGGCGATTATTTTCCTGCTTGTTTTGGGTTCCAAAATAATCTGCTCACAGCCAACTCCAAAGGCCTCTACATTTTTTTGACAATTGGAATTTGAATATATCCAGTATTGGCAAAAATAAACCATCCACTGGAATTCAGAAATCTTTTGATTTAAACGAAAGATGTTGCTAGTACTTGTTATAGGACTGAACCTGGAATTATCGACACAGACTGGAAGGAGCTCAGAGGTCATCTGGTCCACAACAGTGATGTGACAACCGTGCCACACAATTTGTCAGTGACAGAGTCGGAACCAGAACTCAGATCTTGGACTCCAGCCGAGGGCTCTGCCCACTGCGTGTCCTCAAGGAGAGAAGGAGAAGGTATTTGGAGATGGGGAACAGTCACCAGGTTTGTCCACACAAGGCTTTCCTTAAAGTCATCAAGAAAGCGGGAAAGAGAAGCCCCTTCAAATGAGTAGGTTGGGAGACAGCACAGGAAGTGTGGGCAAGGTGAGATGGGGGACAGCAGCCAGGTCAGTTCATACCCATAAGGGGGCTGCACCAGGGATGGGGACGGGGTGTGACAGGGCTTTCGGATCCCCCAGAGGCCGCCTGTTCACAACGAAACAGTAATGCTGGCTGATAAGCAGCCAGTCTGGCGGCCCAGATTAGGAAGGCCCAGGGCAGGCGTCATCTTCTGCGACCCCCATTCAACTCGGCGTCTGCACCGCATCCCGTCTCCCGCCCTCCGGAGCCGCGGGCAGGCCGAGCCCCGCTGGTGGTCTTACCCACGGGCTCCGCGGCCGCCTCCTCGTCGTCCTCGCAGACCTTGGGCCGCAACTGGCAGATGAAGAGCGCCCAGTACCGCCTGGAGACGGCACCCGCCGACTTCAGCCTCTCCTTCAGGCCCTGTAAGCTCGGCCAGGCCGCGCCCGGTTTAGCGGCGCCCTCCCCCGGCCTCGCCGCCCCTTCGTGGCCGGACGCGCCCGGGAGCAGCAGCAGCATGAGGAGGCAGAGCCCGAGCGGGCGCTGCGGGCCGCGAGCCATGGCCAGAGCCCGCGACGCGCATTCGCCCGGCCGGCTCCCGGTCCCTGGGTCGCCCGGCTTTTCCAGGCTCTTCAATCCCTGGCGGGCGGAGACTCGCTTCCGAGGCCAGATTGGCCCGGGATCGGTGTTGCCGTGGGAACCGCAGGCGTGGCTGCGTTTGCACTGGTCCCGGCAGCAGCCCCTAGCCTGCCAGCTTGCCAGCTTGCCAGCTTGCCTCACAGTGACTCAGGGCGAGCGCCAGCGCCCGCTGGAACCGAAACCCGGACTCATGACCCGCAGGGCATCCCCAGGCAGCTTTCAGGCCCCACCCATCCAACGGGCCCGGTTCCAGGAAGCAGTCTATTCTGGGGTGTGAGTGTGGTTTCAAAGGAGGTGAAGTCAGGTCTTGAAATAAATGGTCGTTGTCCATCACCATGTTATTACTTTCGGGCAACTCTGGTGGCCCATCTGAGGCCTACCAAATAACGTCACCTGTTTGTGCCCTTTCCCGTGTCTGCAAGATCAACTTCCTGTCAACATGTTAGGCAAAACCATGGAAATCATCTCACCTAGGATCGTTACTTCGGGCAGGGGAGTCAGCTGAGTGCAGAGAGACCCTGAAAAGGAGAATTGGCGGCAGGGCGTGCTTGTATGTCAGTCGCACTTTACGAAGTCTGAAGTCTGTTGGCTGAGGTCGCCCTGGCTCCTCTGCAGGGGAAATGAAACATCTCCGCCACCAGCAACAAGCAGATTGCCACAGCTGGGAGTTCACCAAAAGCAAGAGGAAGCTAATGGGCTCCAGTCTGCAGAAATTTTGGCTTTGGAAACCCCCACCAAACCAAACCCGTGGCAACTCTAACAAAGAGCCATGTCTTTTTCTCACAGAGCAGCTGGTGGGTTTGAACAGGTTACGAACTGCTGACCTCACCGTTAGGAGGTAAGCTGCTTAACCACTGTACCACTGGGGCTCCTTGGAAACCCGTGCCAGCATGGGGAAATAACAAGGTCTTATGTCAATGTACACGTCGGTGTAATCATATCTCATGAGAAGGGAGTTAGGCTAAGTACTGTGAACACTTTCTTGGCTAAGTTTGCAACTTTCAAGTGTTTATGGCTCTGAGCAGCCCATCAGACAGCACTGACAAGACTCAAGGCCTTTTCCCTTCAGGGCTACCTTCTCCATAATATGGAGTGTGGAACAAGGTTTAGATTTCAGGAAAGCTTAAGGCATTTTTTGAAATCACCTGAGAAGCCACTGGCCTAAGAGCCATCTTGTCCTATGAAGAAACTGCTGTCTAGAGAGATTAGGGAAATTCACTAATACCACCTGCATAGTGGCTTTGAGGTTAGGCTCTCCAGATAGTAAGGTGAATTCTAGCCCCATGTCCCACAAACATCACAGGCACATTGACTCATCGGTTCATCCCAATCTCTTAGACCCCACTCAATGCCAAGTCTGCTCCTTCCTCAACAGTTCAAATATGCTCCTGCCTTTCACTCAAACAGCTGCAGGAATCAGAAAAACACCTTTGTTAGGATACCAAGATAAGCTGGAAACATAATGAATATTATGTATTTATATTGCATGTCTTAGCTACTCAGAGTACAGCCAGAATTGAATGGAAACCTCCACAGGGCAGTGGCCACGGCACCAGTACAGCATTCTGTGCAATCCAGCTCGTGAACTCCTCCAGAAGAGTTAACAAGGAACACATCACTACACTTACTTGGAAACTGCAAAACATTAACTCATTCAGTAAACACTATTTGAGCATGAATGGCAGACTAGTGATGAATTGAATGTGCCCTACCGTTTTCTATGAGTGTGACCTTGGGCGTTACTTACCTGCCCGATGCCTCAGTTACCCCACCCATAAAGAGGATAATACCCACCTCATAGGATGCTGTGAGGATTAAATGAGCTAATTTAGGGAGTGTAAACACCCAGTACATGTTAACTGTTGTTATTTATAGGCCCAGCCCAGAGGGAGACTCCGGATGGTATATAGACGGGTCTTAGATGACTTTCTTTACACTGGCAAAATTTATGAATTATGGTGGTAAAATTACTAATACGGTAGTCCTCGATTTACGAAAGGGTTCTATTCTGACGACTCCGTCGTAAATCAGTTCTGACATAAGTCGAATACCTCTTTTTCTTTCAGTTTTCATTATTGCCTTTTATTATCAGTATCTTTATAAATCCCATCTTTGAACATCTGCAAGTGAACACCTGAGAATAACATCAACAAATTCTGTGCTGCAACACTGCATGTAGTACATATTACTAAAAGACGATTAAAAAAAAGCATAAGTGCGGTTCATCTTAACTCAAATTTGTCGTAAATCGAGGACTACCTGTATTCTTAAAGCAATCCAAGTTTTGAGACTTTGTGGAAGGAATTATGTACTTGTAACTTTCACGTAGGGCCAAATGCTAATTTCTGGGACATTTTGATTTGGATTTAGCATTTATGGTAAATAAAATAAGTAGCTGGGAAGTTCTTTAAAAATTTGTGGATTTCAACGAGAATTTTTTCCTAAAATAGTAGAAGTAAATATTTATTTAACAAAAAAAGCAGTCCCACGTAGAAACAATGAATCCAAACACAAGTTTCTGGACAACCTCTTGAGAATTTCAACAAATTGCTGACATTTCATTCTCCGGGGCTGAGGCAGCTTGCCGCTTTAGCCAGTTCTCATGGGTGATGGGGCCATCTAGAGGCGACTGTGAAAACTACAGGCAGCTAGGATGTCAGCTACTTAAGCGTGGTCCAAAGGCTGGAGACATTGGCATCACGCAGGAGCTTGTTAGAAATGCAGACTCTCAGGCCCCACCCTGTATCTACTGTATCAAAACCTGCATTATAACAAGGTCTTTTAGAGGAAAATGGGAGCACAACACCTTTATTAAGGTCATCTGAAAGGGACCTACCTAGCTTTGCAATAGATCTTTCCAACCCCACTGCAGGTGGTCACAATCTTCTGACTTGAAAACAATCTTTGGGTAAAAATCAAGTCTTTATCTCCAGATAAAAAGAAAAACCTAAAATGTAAAAGAGAAACTGATGATATTCAAGAACATAAAATGAAGTTTCACAGCTCATCAATATGCCAGTGGTTCCTTTAACATTTCATAAAGCCCTCGAGGCACCACTGTGGACTAACACCAGCCACACCAAGGTCTCCTGATGAAAACCACAGGAGACCTGAAGGGACATTTCTGGCACTGGGAACAGAGAACAGGGCCCAAGGAGGCTCTGCATTTTCTAAACTTACAGCTCCACACATCTGTGGTCAAACCCCAAAATCCAAACCTACTGCTGTTGAGTCAGTTCTGACTCAGAGAGATCAGAACTGCCCCATAGGGTTTCCAAGGCTGTAATCCTTCCGGAAGCAGACTGCCACATCTTCCTCCCACGGAGCGGCTGGTGGGTTCAAACCACCTACTTTTTGGTTTGCAGCCCAAACGCTTAACCACTGTGCCAGGGCTCCTTTTGTTGTCAGGGATTCTATACACACCATGTTAAGCCTAGATCTCCGCCTTTTCAGTGAAGGCTCTGCCTACCCCTCACTCTTCCAATCTCCCCCTCCCCCCAGGATTCTTTCTGCTCCTTACTTTCCTTTTAACAAATTTACATCATCCCTGAGGCATTTAGTGCCTTGGGCACAGTTCTTACCTACTGAGACTAGACTCTTTGACAGGACAGTCATTATTTTGGTGGCACCCAGAGCTCCCAGCACTATGTCCTAAACGTTGACAAAGGAAAGACCAGATGGCTATTTGATACTGGGATTTATACAGCAGCTTAAAAGACCCCAGCCACGTCCCACCATGGTTATGACCATTCTTGTCCCTATTTTACAAAATGAAGGCTGTTAAAAATCAGTTTTATAAGCATAGACACTGTGTAAAATAAGCCAGTAACAGAACCCTGCCCTCCCCACTCTCAGCTGCCTTTCTCAAGCTCTAATACCAGTCTTCCCAATATGGCTGCGAAGCAAATGAAGCCTGAAATCTAGCCTGGAGAAGGATTTGTACGTGGTGAATCAGTGAAGATCATGGATCAGGCCTCTGCCTCCTACACATATTCAAGTACGAATGACAAAACCTGGCACAAATACGCTGCAAATCAATTTAAAGTATTCCAGCGCAAGCAGGTTGAGATTAGGATGCTGGATTTCCATTTCAAAAGGTAAAAACCTGCGTGTCCTGAGAATTATAATCAGGTAACTGGTCCTCTCTTCCATGCTTCTGTGGTACTAGGCTGTGACAAGCTCTTCCGGATTCATAATTCTTTATTGCTAAGGACGCTGCAAGAATGGAGTCAACTATGACACGTACAAAAAGCACCTAAGAATTATTCTACAGAAAATCTTGGCACAGTCACAATATGGTATGGACCTTTTGAAGACTAGCAAGGAAATTTAAAGGTCTTATCCATCAGGTACTGTCCAAACAATCCCTGTGGACATTGTAAGTGGGTGCAAAGGATGTAATCTTCTGTTCCCTATCAAAAGGAGTAGAAAACTGGAATAGAAAACACTGCAAATAACCTGAGAAGGGGAAAAAATTAAGAAACAAGATGATACATTAGTGTTTATTAAAATCTTTATTTTCAGAACTGAAACCCATGGAACACATTAGAAAGCTGGGTTTGCATCTGTCTTGGTGTCTTACCAAGCGCAACCTCTATTTGTGCAACAGCTCCGAGAGGAAACCCTTGGCAGAGCAGTACAGAGAGTAGTGGTTCCTACACCTCCCTTTTAAACAAATAAATTAGCTTCCGAGTAAGTTCCCCCAGTTCCCCCCACATTTTGTGTTTGTGAGTAATACCTTGGTTCCTTAAAAACCTGTGGTAGTACAGTACCCAGTCCCTACCTTTTCACCACCCAGACTTCAGAAATCGAGGGAGAAAAACAGGCCTTCTCCTGCAGAGTAAGTCTCTCGGCAGTCAGTCTGTGCGGCACACCCAGAGCTGTTCACTACGTGCTGGCTGAATGAATGGTCTGTGTCACTTGCTGCCCGCTCTCACACAACCCTGTATTTGCCTAACTTCAAGTCCTTCAGCAGCATAAGCCAGTGTTTCCCTGTGTCAAAATAAATACCCTTTCTTGCTAGAATACATATACAACTATATACATACACACACGCACAGTTACTCATGTTTCCTGAAGCTCAAGATCACAGGATGACTCAAACAAGACAGCCACTGACAGATGTTGTTTTACTCGCAGTCAAGTGTGGTTACTGGTCAAACAAGAATATTGGATGGCAGAGAAGGGAGACTAAGGAGTATGGTGGATGGGGAAGGGAGGCCAGAGACTTTTTTTTAAAAGAAAGATGGATTTCACGGGAAGAACATGTTGCCTTCATGTGACACTGAAGAATTGCCATGTAAATGATTCATCTTTCCCAAAATAATATGCAATGGATGGACCTGAATTCTTCCACTTCTTTCTTACATTCCATCTGACATAGTAAACCTAAGTGCAAACAGGGAGAAATGCCTCATTTACACATTACCAAACAGGGCTCCAGGCAACATCAGATCCATCTATTTTTTGTTTTGCAAAGGAAGTTATTTATGCCCCTCCCCAAGGCTATGCTATAGACTCAGATGAAGAACAGTTTTAGAATGAAACCTCTTTATCCACATTTCCCCACTCAAACTTCTGAATAAATATTTTTAAGCAGTGGGAGGAAGGCATGAAGCGGCAGTCAGTTCTGATTTATAATATTAAAATGGATCCACATCTACCTTTAGATATTAGCTAGGCACACCCAACTCAGGGCTGATCAAACACCAAGAACCCCTCCAAGAGCTTGTTTTGACTGTAATAGCACTGGATTCTAATAAAGAAATAAACCATAGAAGACAGTGTTATAAATCTTTTTAAAAAGACATCTACCTCTTTTTTTTTTTTTCCAGATAGAATTCAGTGTTCGTGAAATTTAGGGTGGTAAGCTTGGTTTCTTCCAAGGTTCGCCTAAGCATACTTTTCCAGCTTAATGCAATCCTGACTTCGAATGTAAATTTATTTCTCAGATGTCATGTCGTACACTCTATAATTCTAACTTTAACTGTTGTGGTTCTGAACACCTTTTGAAACCATGAGTTTGAAATCAGTAGGGAAACAGAATGAAATGATACATTTTTTGCAATGTTTTGAAGGATCAGACATTTGAAAGTAGCTTTCCCACTGCTTTTTCCCTTAGCAGAATTTTCTGCCTTCATCATTATGAATAAAGTTCCCAGTTTGGGAATGGTTTTTGCTCATCCCAGTGCAGCATACTAAGGGCATCACGTGTTTGAAAGAACACTAATACCCAATTTAGTTCAGCTAACGTTTATCAGGAGAACACAGCTCACATCCTTCCCACTGCCTCCCTCCAGCTGTCTCCCAGAAGCTTTAGGGGCAGCACTATCCAAGTTGTTCTCAAGCTGAATTGTGAATTTCCCTGGACACACACAGTAAACGGCCCTAAGATTAGAATCAATGCCCCCTTTTGTTAACACTATTTCAGTGTTTTGTGCTGGTATCTGTCTTTTTAGATTCAACACTCTTATAACTCAGTCCATTCTGTTCCCATCTCAAGACGTATACACACAGTACAAAAGTACCCTAATTTCATGCTATTTTAGTTATAGGTTACTCAGTTACCTTTCAATGCGAGATAACTGGGGCATAAATTCTAAAGCTATCTTTAAAAGTGTGGGTGCCTAAAACTGGTCTCCAATGACTGATATTAAATTTGTTTAACCACACTGTTTAAATATTGACAGAAGTACAAAACCAGAACAATGCCCAGACCAGATGCTGGAGAGACACACGCAGCTCTGGGCACACAGGTGAGTGGGCACATCGGGCCTGACCTCCTTGGCCCTGGATTTTACTGCAACTGCTTACCTGTCAAAATTGCTTTGCCAGAACACAAAAATAAGCCTGTGTTTTAGGAACCTAGAGTTTGAGAGTGCTCGGCGGAGATGGGAGGGTAACACTACATCATGGGTTCAGGACCCAAATAAGACTAAGGGATGAAATTAGGGTTTGACAGAAATCAAAATCTTAAGGCTCCTCATGGTAATCTCCTTAATTTCAAGGCTCAGAAGGCTTAAAATCTTTGTTTCGCATGGCCGAAATCACGAGCTAAGTCCAGACACCAGCAGGGTGTGCGCTGTCATCTGTAGAAGTGAGCTGGCTTTTCTCACAAGGAAGGCACAAACAAAGTTGCCAATCTCTTGGGAACAGCAGCTTCGAGGACCAAATGCCTTAAAGGTAGAGGTGGAAATTCATCTCAAAAGAGAATTGAGGATAGCAGAGATCACAGACAACCTGACTCTCATTCAAGGTTACTGTTTCAGTTTGCTTCGTTAATTTAGAAAGAATTTGCCTGCTTTGGGCAAAAGGGGGGAAAAATAGTCTCCATAAGAGACGCATGCTTGAAATGTAATAATATTTTCTCTAGAGACAAATTTTTGGTTAATTTGGACACAACCATGAGACTGCAGATTTTACTTAGGTAAAGAGTCATTTTTGCTTTTTTCATACCTGAAGAGCTTAAATACAAGGGAACCAGTTTTCACTAATGATCTCAGTATACGATTCAATCATCTCCTCGATTCTGGTTCTACCAAGTCAGTCTTTCTTCTTCCCTCCCCTAAGAATTACCAAAGGACTACTATGCATCTGGTTAGAACATCTTCCCTGCTTTTGCCCTTTTTTCCAATTCTATCCCCTTAAAATATATCCCCTCCAACAGAAAGTGCTATTCTGGCTCAATAGAGTACAAGGTTTTATTTGCTGCCACTCCTTAGGAGGCAGTAAGCTTTTCAATCTGACTAGTCCTGGTAAAACAGGACACAAGAGATTGCAGTGTTTTCAGGAAATCCACAGGTGTGGAGAAAGGACTGTAAGGTGCAACTCAAAACACACACTCCAGAGCCAATCCCAGCAAACTATCCAAATGTCACACCTCTATTAGTCCTTTGGCATAGGAAATTAAAAGTGATCAACCACGACACCCATTGCTAGGATGGGTGCATAACGCCAAGGAAGTCAGAAGGTGATTCAGCAGGAGCATCTCCGTGGTCTGACACTTGTAGATTTTGCTTTAGTTTCTGCCACAGAAAACACCAAAGACATCCAAGGCCACCCTGCCCTCTATCACCAGAACTTGGTGCTGGCCATTTCAGTCCATGGCATAGCATTTGGAATCGATTGTGCTGTTTCTCTATCTTTGAAAAACCAAGTTTCACATATTTTGTGTTGAGAATTACAAGTGGGAGAGAGGCATCCTGTCTTCCACCAGCACAGCGTCTGCCCCAAACTGGTCGGTGCACTGCTTCACGGTGGCCAGAACACTCAAGAGCCGCTGGTCCACGGCGTCCAGGTGAGGGTCAGAGAGCACTGGGGCAATAGGGTCATGGGCCATGGCCGATTTTAAGGCAGACTTCAGCACACCATTCTTCAGGTAGTTCAGTCTGTTCCAGGTAGAAACCCGAATGCTGGAAGGAAAAGGTTTAGGATAGGTTACATAACACCTCTAAAATGGAGTTTAAAGCTTGCTTGACAGACAAAAATAAAGAAATTATGTAAAATATCTCAACTGGAAAACTCATTTCTGTATTACCTCTACATTGGAAATCATTTTGATTTTTTTTTCTGGGTAATTAATCTGAGATATATACGAAGAGTATACATATTTATGTTCACTGCAGTGCTATCTGTAACAGGGAAAATGGGAAACAATTTGAATGTCCAACAATTTGGAAACAGTTAAATAAATGTGGCTTATTCATTCAAGGGAATACCATGCAGCCTTTAAAAACATTCTTGAAATTTGGTGGCATGAGAAAATGCCTATAATATAATGTGGGGTGAGGAAAAAAAGTTAGGGGGACAAAACCTGTTTTACTCCAAATCCGTGGGAAATAAAACGTGTGTGTATATGTGCATATGTATTTACACACACAGGATTAGAATAAAGAACACTACAACAGTAATAGGAGTTACCCTAAGATGTTAACTGGTAATTTTTATTTTCTTCTTTATATGTTGGAGTTTTAAAAAATTTCTACCATTAATATTACATACCAGAAAAAATTTATTTTAAGGACACTTATTTTCTTAATTATTTCAGCAACTAATGAGGATCTTTTGTTTGTTTCAGCAGAAGTCTTTTTAAGTTAAAATAATTACTTCCCTGTGGATAAAGTGGAGTGGGAATTACAACATATGCAGAAAAGTCTGACTCTGCAAGAGGCTCCTGTCCTGCAACTATTTAAAAAGGAGGATGGATCTGTGCACAAAGCACGGAGGGGATGGATGAGCACAGATGCAGTGTGGCTTGGCTACTCTGGAATGGACTACGAATTCCCAGGTTATCAGGGTGTCCTCTCTGTGACCAGGTTATCAGTTTATTGCCTCTCAGCCCCAAATTCACCCTGCAATGTGTGATCTGCTACAATGGACAACACGACTCTTGGTAAGCTTCCTCAGCAGAGGGACACGGCGGGAGGAATGGACCCTCCTGCCACATGCTGGGTCAGTGGTGAAGACATCCAACAGAGCTCTGCCCTAGCCCCATGCCCAGAAAGCACAGTCCCTTAGTGACCTTGCAGCCTAGGCCTGCCTGGTGAGACCCTTCCTGAGGCCTTCTCAACATGGAAACCAGGGCCCTGAAAGCCACCTGCCCATGCTGTGCTGCAATTCCCTCCACAGGCTTACAAGCGTGGCCGCCTGCGGCCCAGAGGGCTCACCAGTTGCTGAGTGCCTGGGCACCGCCTGCACAGCGGGGGGCTGTCTCCTGCCTGCCCAGCGCCTACAGACCAGCTCTGGCCCAGGTAGACCAGCAAACTTCTCTGCTACCCGGGGGCTGAACTACACCTTCTCCAGTGAGGTCCGAACCCCAGGCTTGGGGAGGGGACCTCTTCCAAATTTGTCCTTCCTTGGATACTCCCCCTCAGCCCTAGTTTTCTTTTATCACCTAGTCACTCTTTGTTATCAGAGTTTAATAATTCTTTATATTAAACGTACCTTGTTTAGCCTACTGAGTCTTTTCTGTTTTTCACTGGATCAGGCTGATATACTAACTATTAATACAAAAACAGCTTCCTTCAAAGCCAAATGCAATTTTTGGATTGTAGGAGACCTTGGGTGGTACAAACGATTAAGCACTTGACTATCAGCCAAGAGGTTGGCGGTTCGAACCCACCCAGAGGTGCCTCAGAAAGACAGCCCTGGCGATCTGCTTCTGAAAGGTCACAGCCTTGAAAACCCTATGGAGCATTCTGCTCTGACACACATGGGGTCTCCATGAGTTGGAATGGACTGGATGGCATCTAACAACAACAACGTATCACTGCTTCTCAATATTAATGAAGTAAGGGTTGCCTGGGTTAAAATGTTATTTTTTGTAGAATTGTGTTGCTATGAAAAAAAAAAAAGGAAAGAAAAGAGAAACAGACCAGTAGCTAGGAAGGGCAGTATAGGTGACAGGGGTGTCTCTGGGAGCTAAGTCTTGGACTTGCTTCTCTATGCAGTCAAGCAAGGTGAATCCCAGCTGATTCTTGGTGCTCGGGCTTTAAAATTATACCAGCAATGATGATCTAAAAGAAGCTCCTTGGAGCCCTGTCATTTTCTTGATTTACTTTTTAATGTTTTATTTTCTAATATAGACTTAAAAAATATTAAATACCTATGGGAAAAGTTAGTTACTTTTGATTTAGACAATTTAAAACTGAGATCTGCATACTCCAGGTGGGTGTGGTAGGTGTGGGAGAGGAAGTGACACCACAAGGTCTCACATGGTACAGCTCCTTGGGATACAGATTTTACCAGGGGATTTTTCTTGTGGGGGGGGGGAGTAGGAAATTGTATTTTGATATTTAAACAAACATGGATTATATATTACCAAATAGACTGCAATCTTCTATTCACACAAAGCTCAAAATGAATTCTGAGCTTTGGGCTGCCTGTCCTCTACCTTTCCCTGATCCCCCAATCCCAGGATCTCTGGGGGCTCTGGGCTGAAAAGAATGAAAAGCACTGCTCAGGTACCAGGAGGTTGTCAGGCCAAGAAAACAGACGCGCTGTTACCTGAGCCTGGAAAGGAAGGGAAGGCAGCACACGTATTTGTTGTGTGTAACTTACATGCAACACTGATAGAGAGGGGCAAGAATGCTTCTCTCATCCAGCGAGGGGTTCCCAAAGCTGAAAATTAAATTAAAACTTAGTGAATTAGGTAGAAGCACCAGTTCCCTTCTCAGCATCAAAGCAATCAAATTCCCTACTTAGCGTCAAATTCTGTAAGAACCCCAAATGTGATCCTAAATAATTTCACGCTCCAGCAGCTCAAATCACTTAAATTAAAAATAAACAGGGCATGACCAATTAGACACAGGATCCTCAGTAGTCTGTGCTGAAGTATAAAACAACAAATATACTAATTTACAAGGACCCTTTCTCCTACCAAGATATTGCAAGGTGCTGGAACATTACTATGGTAGCGCAGTGTGGAGCTAAGAGACTGAAAGGAGAACTCAAAGACCCCAAACCTGAAACGTTTTAAGGGGTAGGGAGAGAAACAAAGGCTATTCATACCAGATTCCACAAACGAGCATATGGTTGTTACTTGTAAAAAGAAGTTATACTTGTTTCTACCCCAAAATTACCAACCAGAAAAGATTTGGATTATTCTATTCCGTACAAGTAAGTACATTAACAGATTCACACTGGTTTCCAATTGCTCACAGAGGCTGAGAAAACACTGACTCAAAGTAGATGTAAAAATGATCTAAGTAGTAATTCAGAAAAGGAGAGCTGAATCTGGAAAAACTGTCCATCTTCCACTATTTCCAGGAAGCTCATCTTAATAACTGGAGGGTCCTGGTAGCACTTAATGCAGTGCAGGCCGTCAAATAATCAAGGGCAAAGGCAACTATTCCAATGTATACTTCTCCAGTACACATGACCTTTAGAAAAAAGATCACCTTTACAAGGAAGGATAAAGATTTTCCAGAATATATGTAGCACTGGCCACCACCTGTTTTGCTGTGAGATGGGGCGAGGGCGTGGCAGTGTTTGCTGACCTCTCACCTTCTGTAGCTGCCACGATCTTTCACGGAGCACAGGGCACCTGGTGTTCTGTATAAGTTTGCGACATCATTAGCAAATGCTGTCCAAGCAGTCTTTGCTGTGGACCCAAGTCTCAGCTTATTCCCAGGACCAATGTTAATAATAGTAGTGACCTTGTGCCTGGACAATTCTGGGCTCCAGGGAAGTATTTTATCTAGCAAACACTTATTAAATGTAACTCAAAGTATGGTACAGAACTGGACACCATCGAGAATGCAGAGAGCAAACTGGAAATAAACTCCAAATAGCTCAATAAAAATAAGGACAGAATAATAATATCCACATAAATAAATAAGGATATTCCATTTATTCAAAATGAATAAACTTGACTTATTCGAGATAAAACTAACTTGTCTTTATATATAATCACTAGGCAATTGCTCTCTTCCCATAAAAGTAAAGAGTTTGGGCCTAAACTGCCATAAAGATTGCAAAACATCCCATCAGCAAGATGGGAGGGGAGTGCCAACAGTGATGACCCAAGCAGAAAAGGGAAGTGTGTCTTCTGTCAGTGGTGCTCTGGATGTTTCCCAGGACACCCTAGAAAATCTCCTCCTTGTACACAGATAGATAGGGTTCTGCCAGTCCTACCTTTTGGCATTATCAAGAAGGATGAGCATACTGGCGCCTTCGTCATCTTGAAAGCTCTCATAGTGATGGCGGTCAGCATTGCCAATCAGGTAATCAAAGACAGCTGTGTCAATGATGTCCAGGAGGCGCGGGCCTGAGTCATAGGGGGATGTTTTCTTCACAGCATCGCAGTAGCTCTCATCATATTCCCACCTGGAGGCAAGCAGCATCACCAGGGTTATTTACTAAGTGCAATCACTGTATCTGGCACTGTTTAAAACAGAGAAGAGAGAGTCCCTGCCTAGCAGGTTCACCTCTGATGCCCAGTCTTTGACTGCTGGTCAGAATTCCTGGCTCTCATACGGGATGGCACTGGGCCAGGCACAGGGGAGAATGAAGCAGTAGCCCACAGGGGCATTTACCTGGCCAATTTGCCCTCTCGGTAAGTCCTGCCCCATGGGTGTCTGTGTTTCTGCAGAGGCCACACATCTGGGAGCCAAAGCGTGACAGATCCCTCCATTGTGTCTCCATCGGCACAGGCTGGCTCTGTTTCTCGGCAGTAATAACACTTCCCATAGAAACAAGTATTGTTTCCTAAAAGGGAGGAAGGAACCAAATACACTTAAGGAAAAAAGGAAGATTCCATTCTCCCCAAACACTACAGCAAAGATCCTGAACTAACTACATTTCAAACGTTTAGTTTTCTGAACAGATAATAAAAGCACATGGTGTAAAAAATTCAAAAGGTACAAAAGGACACGTACTAAACAAATCATCTTCCCTCCTCCTCCGTGTCGTCCCTTCTACCCAATCTCTCAAGAGTCAACTATTATCACTAGTCTTTTTTTTCAATTGTGCTTTAAATGAAAGTTTACAGTTCAAGTTAGTTTCTCATACAAAACTTTGTACACACACTGCTATGTGACCCTAGTTGCACTTCCCATGCTGTGACAGCACACTCCTCCTTTCCACCCCGGATTTCCCGTGTCCATTCAACCAGCTCTTAACCCTCTTTGCCTCCCCATCTCACCTCTGGACAGAAGCTGCCCATTTAGGCTCTTGTATCTACTTGAGCTAAGAGGCACACTCCTCACAAGTATCACTTTATGCCTTATAGTCCAGTCTAATCTTTCTCTAATAAGAGTTCGCTTCGGGAATAGTTTTGGCTAACAGAGAGTCGGGGGTCCATGGCTTCCGGGGTCCCTTGAGTCTCAGTCAGACCACTAAGTCTGGTCTTTTTACTAGAATTTGAGTTCTGCACCCCACTTTTCTCCTGCCCCATCAGGGACTCTCTGTTGTATTACCTGTCAGGGCGGTCATTGGTGGTAGCCAGGCACCATCTAGTTCTGGTCTCAGGCTGATGGAGTCTTTGGTTTATATGGCCCTTTTGTCTCTTGGGGCTAATACTTTACTTGTGTCTTTGATGTTCTTCATTCTCCTGTGCTCCACGTGGGTTGGGACCAATTGATGCATCTTAGATGGCTGCTCGCTAGCTTTTAAGACCCCAAACACCACTTACCAAAGCGGGATACAGAACATGTTCTTAATTAACTTTGTTATGCCAATTGACCTAGTTGTCCCCTGAAACCATGGTCACCAGCCCCCGCCCCTGCTACTCTATGCCTTGAAGTGTTTGGTTGTATTCAGGAAACTTCTTAGCTTTGGTTTAGTCCAGTTGTGCTGACTCCCCTGTAGTGTGTGCTCTCCTCCCCTTCACCTAAGATAATTGTTGTCTGCTATTGAGCTAGTGAATACCCCTTTCCCTCCCTCCCCACCCTCGTAACCATCAAAGAATGTTTTCTTCTGTGTTTAAACCTTTTCTTGACTGCTTATAATAGTGGTCTTATACAATATTTGTCCTTTGGCGACTGACTAATTTCACTCAGCATAATGCCTTCCAGATTCATCCCGTTATGTTTCTCAGATTCACTCTTATTCTTTATCGTTGCATAGTATTCCATTGTGTGAATATACCATAATTTGTGTATCCATTTGCTCGCTGATGAGCACCTACGTTGTTTCCATCTTTTTGCTATTGTGAACAATGCTGCAATGAACATGGGTGTGCATATATCTATTCCTGTGATGGCTCTTATTTCTCTAGGATATATTCCAAGGAGACGGATTGCTGGATCGTATGGTACTTCTATTTCTAGTTTTTTAAGGAAGCATCAAATTGATTTCCAAAGGTTGTGTACCATTTAACATTCCCACCAACAGTGTCTAAGTGTTTCAGTCTCTCCACAGCCTCTCCAACATTTATTATTTTTGTTTTTTGGATTAATGCTAGCCTTGTTGGGGTGAGATGGTATCTCACTGTAGTTTTGATCTGCATTTCTCTAATGGTTAACGATCGTGAGCATTTCCTCATGTATCTGGTAGCCACCCGAACGTCTTCTTTGGTGAAGTGCCCGTACATATCCTTTGCCCATTTTTTAACTGAGTTATTTGTCTTTTTTGTTGTTGAGGTTTTGCAGTATCTTGTAGATTTTAGAGATTAGACCCTGATCGGATATGTCACAGACAAAAATTTTTTCCTAGTCTGTAGGTTGTCTTTTTACTCTTTTACTATTATCACCAGTCTTTCTCAACTCACTTTAATTAAAGGAAAGTAATGGCCTCTTCTCCTTAATTAGGGCTGAGATTTAGGCCAGAGTGCCCAGGGGAGAGAGAGGGCATGTCTGGGGCCAAGCTGTGGCCAGGAATTTGGTTATATACAGGAGAGTTTGAGCAAATAAGTAAACAGATTGAGGATACTGGAAATTAGGTTTCTGACAGAGTGAGAAGGGAATACAGATATAGAAAGGTGGAAGGTTAAATTAATTTCTGTAGATTAGAATTAATTAGATTAGAATTGCAGACATTGATATGAATCATGGTTTTAACGCCATACACACAGATACAGAAAAAGATACAGACTGCGTATATGTGTATCTATGCATATACGTGTGTACATATATATAAACATAAATTTCCAACCTCTGTCCACCAAGAGAACCTAGAGACAATGACATTCTGGTAGTAACAAGCACACAGAGCACAAACATAGTTTCCAAATACAACTTTAATACCACATTGAAAGGAACTAGTGCTCTTGAAGGAATAGTTGACTTCAGAGCCAGGGCAGGGAAAGTACAAGATGGATTTGGAACATGTTGTTATGCCAGTGAGTAAGGAAGTGCTCAGAAAATGACGGGGACACTCCAAAATGACACAGGAGCCAGCCTGCTGGGGTTCCCACTGGCTAAATTTGTGACCGTTTGAGCATCAAAATAAATAACGACAGTAATAAATTGTTCTCAGCAAAGAAAGAGTCTGTAAGTTAATAGTGATATAAAAAAATGAACGAATGAATGATGGAATTAGAAAATCACCATACGGCAACAATTATTAAAAAAAACAACAAAAAACCTGGTGCTGTCCAGTCAATTCCGACTCACAGCGCCCCTACAGGACAAAGTAGAACTGCCCCATAGGGTTTCCAAGGAGCAACTGGTGGATTCAAACTGCTTGCTGACCTTTTGGTTAGCAGCCAAGCTCTTAACCACTATTATTGAGGCAAGAATTATCAATGAGCACTAATTAATTGAAAGTTTGATAAGGAATAGAATATTTACATAGTTCTAGAGCATCTCTCTACAAAGTACCCAGTAATTAATTATTAATTAAGTTCTTGTTATTGTTAGGTGTCATCAAGTCTGTTCTGACTCATAGCAACCCTATCTACAATAGAATGAAACACTGCGTGGCCCTACACCATCCTCACAATCCTTGCTATGTTTGAGCCCATTGCTGCAGCCACTATCAATCCATCTCATTGAGGGTCTTCCTCTTATTCCCTGACCCTCTACTTTACCAAGCATGATGTCCTTCTCCAGGGACTGGTCCCTCCTGATAGTATGTCCAAAATACATGAGACGAAGTCTTGTCATCCTTGCTTTTAAGGGGCACTCTGGCTGCATTTCTTCCAAGACAGATTTGTTCATTCTTCTGGCAGTCATGGTATATTCAATATTCTTTGCCAACACCACAATTCAGAGGCATCAATTCTTCTCTGGCCTTCCTTATTCATTGTCCAGCTTCCGCATGCATATGAGGTGATTGAAAATACCACGGTTTAGTTCAGTCGCAACTTGGTCTTCAAAGCGACATCTTTGCTTTTTAACATTTCAAAGAGGTCTTTTGCAGTAGATTTGCCCAACACTGTGTCTGTTCGTTTTTTTTTCTCCCCATACAAAAATTTATACATACATTGTTATGTGACTCTAATTGCTCTCCCCATACTGTGACAGCACACTTCTTCTTTCCACCCGATTCCCCAGGTCCATTCAACCAGCTTCTAACCCTCTCTGCCTTTCCATCTCACCTCCGGAGAGAAGCTGTCCATTTAGTCTCCTGTATCTGCTTAAGCTAAGTGGCACACTCCTCACGAGTATCACTTTATGTCCCACAGTCCAGTCCAATCCGTCTGAAGAGTTGGCCTCGGAAATTGTTTTAGTTCTGGGCTGATACAGAATCCAGGGGCCATGCTTTCTGGGGTTCCTCCAGTGTCAGTCAGACCACTAAGTCTGACCTTTTTACTAGAATTTGAGTTCTGTACCCCACCTTTCTCCTGCTCCATCCAGGACTCTCTGTTGTGTTCCCTGTCAGGGCAGTCATTGGTGGTAGCTGGGCACCATCTAGTTCCTCTGGTCTCAGGCTGATGAAGTCTCTGGTTTATGTGGCCCCTTCTGTCTGTTGGGCTACTACCTTCCTTGTGTCTTTGGTGTTCTTCATTCTCCTTTACTCCAGGTGGTTGGGACCAATTGATGCATCTTAGACGGCTACTTGCAAGC